ATGGGTACTAGAGAGAAATCAGAGAAGGACAAGACTCCTGCCTTGAGGGAGCTAACAGACCAGATGAATAACGTGTTAACTTGCCTGGAAGGATGGAGTCCTTTCAGAAGACGAACCATCTATTATAACTACCCTGGTAACTTTACCCCCTCCCATGTTTTATATCACTTGGTATGTGCTTGTATGTTTGTTCTGGCCCCTGGGGTCCTTGCTTGTTTTTTTTTATTGAAGTATGGTTACCACACGAAGTCTTTGCTTATTTTTAATTCCATCACCAAGATCTCCCCCCTCCTCCCACTCTTTTCCACCTGCTGAAGTCCTGTTCGATTTTGAAGTCTCAGGAAAAGTCCCTTTTCTTCTGCAAAGCATTCTCCAACAGCTCCAGCCCACGATCTGGACCTCTCAAGACATGTGATTTCTGAAGCACACAGTCTGGGACTTGAATATTACTGTATCTCATATTCCTGAATTATAGTCATCTAGCCAACAATTTACGAAGTGATTTCACACAGATTATTACACCGGAGCCTCATAACAACCCTATCAATCAAGGAAGGCAGATCTTGAACTTCATTTTTCATTTGAGGGTAACAAACCTCTGAGGTGGACTTTTCTGAATTCACGAATGTAGTGAGCGATGGCCCCAAATTCCATCTTCTTTCTATCAGCCTATGTACACATATGCATGTTTTGCTTTTTAAGGACTTGGACGCTGCCTTACGTGTCTCTTTCCTTTGTGGGGTCTAGTGCAGGGTTCCCATGTAGCAAAAACTCAATGCACCAATGCACTTGGTGAGTGGACTCTAAATGGCCTCAAAAAGTCTTTTTACTGGGCTTCCTTAGGATGCATGGTGTGTGTGTGTGCATGCACGCACACACCCGCCCCCCCCCACGCACACACACCAAACAACCCAGATGAAGCTAATCATTGATGTACAAATTAACAATAGATATAAAAAGAGCTGGGAAAGTGCCCTCTGTAGAATAGTGGAAGAAGAGTAGTCAGAGGAGTTGTGTGTTTTGTTAAGGGAAGGCTCAGACAGTGAAAGCGTCCTTTCCTTCCCATCAGTCAAAGGTATACTGAAGGTGCGCCTGGGTGGCTCAGTTGGTTGGGCGTCTAATTCTTGATTTTCGGCTCAGGTCATGATCTCACGGTTCCTGAGTTTGAGCGCCATGTTGGGCTCTGTGCTGACAGTCCAGAGCCTGCTTGGGATTCTCTCTCTCTCTCTCTCTCTCTCTGCCCCTTTCCTGCTCATGCTCTCGCTCTCTCTCAAAATAAATAAATAAAACTTTTAAAAATAGAAAAAAAGGTATAATGAAATTGAGTCCATCTTATGGGTCAATTATACCTCAGTATGACTGTTTAAAAAAAAAAAACAGAATAGATGAATCACTAAATTCTACTCCTGAACCCAATATTTTCCTATATGTTAACTAACTAGAATTTAAATAAAAACTTGAAACAAAATAAAACAAAACAGAATAAAATTGTCCTCAGGATGTTGGTGAAAATAATAAAGGTGAATGGTAATAATAATAATAATAATAATACAGCTAACATTTATTGAGCCCTAATTAATATGCCAGGCACAATGGTGAGTGCTTTTCCATGCATTTTCTCCTTGGCTTTTACTTATTTTGCTGATGGGGAAACTAAGGTTTAAGAAATTAAATGACTTGCCCCAGGTCACACAACTTGTGAGTGGCAGCACCAAAATCTGAACTGATGTCTGATTCTAGAATCATCCGTCCTTGCCACTATCAAGGAGGCTATCAATCACATCAACCCTGGAACAAGGAAGGGGCCATTCGATTTAAAAACCAAAATCAAGGGGCGCCTGGGTGGCGCAGTCGGTTAAGCGTCCGACTTCAGCCAGGTCACGATCTCGCGGTCCGTGAGTTCGAGCCCCCTCTGGGCTGATGGCTCAGAGCCTGGAGCCTGTTTCCGATTCTGTGTCTCCCTCTCTCTCTGCCCCTCGCCCGTTCATGCTCTGTCTCTCTCTGTCCCAAAAATAAATAAACGTTGAAAATAAATAAATAAATAAAAATAAAAACCAAAATCAATGGAACATGAAGGTTATGTTGTTCCTTTACAATGTTTTGGCCTAGAATACCTAGAAAACTGATATCACACTTACTTTGGCTTCAGTGATTTCTATAACTAACTCAATTCTATACTTTGCTATATAAACTGATCTAGCTTCAATTTCTGAGTAACTTACTCCTTGGGTGTGAACTGCTTATTAATGACCCCTTACAGGATGCAAAAGAAGTTCCTTAAAAAGAAGCCTCAGCTCCTAGAAAATGTTTATTTCTTACCAGCAGACCCTAAGTCCTGGCCCCTGCCCACAACGGGACACAACCAGACAGATTTAGCTGGTAGACAGAAATGAAACTCACTGGAGAAAGGACAGGAGCAGGGCCCACTCACCCCCCTGGGCTCTAATTACACCAAATATCTGTACTTTGTGGCGAAGGAAAACTAGGATGACCTACAAAATAATATCTACCGTGACTCTTACAGGAGTTGACAGATCTTTGGAATACCAAAAGAAGAAAAAGTGGGTTGGAATTATTTTGCCTCAGAAGAATGTGGATTGATCTTTGAATTGGGCCTTCTACCAAGGGATCAACGGGGGGGGGGGCGGCCAAGTGCAGGGTGAGGTTTTCCAGGGGAAGCATGACCTTGAGAGTCTTTCTTGCAATAGTCTGCATAGCGGCCTGGCATGGAGTCTATTAATCTGCTCAACAGGAGATGGGGAGAAAGCAAAAGACAGAAAGACAAAACAGAATCAAAGAAAAAGAAACCAACTATGAGCAAGTTAATGCTAGGTTTACACAATAAATTTATCTTAATAGCTTTCCATTTATTCTTATTTCATTCTTTTAATATCCTTAATGGAGTGGTGGTGGGGGCATTATGAAAGTGAGGCTACTGGTATCCCAAAAGATTTGGCCCATGCCACACAGCTATCTAATAGGAAGCCCAACTCAGACATACAGTTTTCCTGTCTCGAAGTATGTTTTTCTTTACACAGAGTGGGTGCTAAAACTGGCTGGCAGGAAAGAAATTAAATCAGTACATGCAAGAGATATCTGTGCTCTCGTGTTTATTGCAGTGCTATTCACAATAGCCAAGATATGGAAACAGCCTAAGTGTCGGTCAACCGAGGAATGGAAAAAGAAACCATGGTATATATACACAACAGAGTATTATTCAACCTTAAAAAAGAGATCTTGCCATTTGCAACAATACTGGATGGACCTGGAGGACAGTATGCTAGGTGACATAAGTCAGATACAGAGGTAAAAAAAAAAAAAAAAGGCATGATTTCCCTTTTGGTGAAATCTAAAAAATGTCGAATAATAGAAACAGAAGGTAGAATGCTGGTTCCCGGGGTCTGCGGTTCAGGGAGAAGGGGAGATGTTGGTCAAAGGGTATAAAGCTGCAGTTATGTAAGATGAATACAGCTGGGGAGCTAATGTACAGCGTGATGACTATAATTAATAATATTGTGTTGGGTCCCGGAAATCGGCTAAGAGAGAAGATTTCAGGTGTTCTCACCACAAAACAAACACGAACTATGTGAGGAGATGATGTTAATTAGCTGGACCACAGTAATCAATTCAATCTGTTTATGTATAACAAATAAGCATGTTGTACACCTTACATGTATACAATTTTTACTAAAGAAAAGAATGTTTTTCAAACTGGGAGACAAAGACCACTGAGTCAAAAATCCCAGCTTAGGTATCCACACTCCACAACCTTACACAAGCCACTTTACCCCTCTGGGTCTCAATTTTTCTTTCTTTCTTTTTTTTTTTTTTAGGGTTTATTTACTTATTTTGAGAGAAAGAGAGGGAGAAACAGAGACAGAGAGAGCAAAAGAGAAAGAGAACGAGTGCAGAAGGGGCAGAGAAAGAGAGAGAGACCATGACCTGAGCCAAAATCAAGAGTCAGACGCTCAACTGACTGAGCCACCCAGGCACCCCAAGGGGTCTCAATTTTTCTAAGAATGGGACATACGGAAGTGTTGAGTCACTGTATCATACACCTGAAACTAACCTAACACTGTATGTTAACTATACTGGAATTAAAATTTAAAAATATATATTTAAAAAGCCTCCCCCAAAACTTAGT